TGAGTGGTGAGCTGCTTCACTAAAAAAAAGTGGGCGTGTTTTCTGGGATTAAGCGGACAGTGCAACAGAAACATTGATGCCTCGAAAGGCTAATTAAACAAGGGGAGAGAAGGGATGGGAGAAGCAGATGTTTTAGAAATATTCATCTGAATAAGAAACTCAGTTAGGTGGACTTTACTCAGGTTATAACTGTTAATATTAGCATGCTTTGCTGAGTACTGAGGAATGAGACTGAGCACCTGTAGGAATGTCTGGAGTGCAGTATTATCAGTTCTTGACTGATTTATTCATTCCATCCTTTTCTTCCATTGAACTTTCTGGTTACAGTTTATAGTTTATGTTTAGTTACAACTCAACTCCAGTCCTGTCAGCAGACGAGTTGTTGGAAAACCAACTGAAGACTATTCATTTTTCAAAGACGTTATCAAACCATCACATTTTGACAATGTCTACTTGTTAATTTTGGGGGTTTGACCAACAACCAGCTTATTATTTACCCCCCCCCCCCCCCCCATTTTGTGTTTATGATAAAGAACTCAACAGATCATTTTACCTCCAGCCAAAGTATAATGTATGAAACATTTTTATCCTGGGCGAAATCATAGCACCCATTACATCATCTGTCACCAGAAGTTTCTTCCTGCAATTGTATTGGAGCACAAGTAGCTATAAAAGATCCTTCTTAACTCATTTAGTATCAAGCAACTAACCAGATTTTTTTTTAGTTGGGGGGGAGAGAATGATCTAGTATGCCATTCGAATATGATATGCCATACCCAACTGTATCTTTAACATATCCTATCCCAGTTTTTACTTATGTTTCTTTTGTCCCACTGTGTTATCGTTTAAAACAGTGTTCATTCAATCAGCGGGCTGTGGCTCAATGGTGAGTCGCAGAGTCAGGTTGTCAGGTCAAAAAATTTGCCTAATCATGGAATGGGGTAGTGTAGGTAGTTTTTCATTCCCAGGATAGAAAGTCTGTAAGACTAATGAATCAACGATGAAAATACAACAGGTTCAAATTTCACAAACCCTGCTAAACAGCATTGATTTTCTAATCTCTGAGCAGCAACAGCACACACCGCATTAGCTACAAATGGTAATTCTGTTGCATCAAATATAACAAACTTACCCCTGTTTACACTTTCTCTTTCTGTGGTTAGTTAGCTGTCAGGTGAGCTATGAAACAATTTCTTCCCGTTTTGGTGGGGTGCGGGTGTAAAATGGTTGAGGAACACTGATTTAAACCTTTTTCCTACCAATACCCTATTCATTTAAGTAGCTACTGCTTACAAGTTACCAGTCAAATCAAACACAGGTCTGGAATGGAAAGAGTTAAGCCACTACTACAAACTACAGTTTCAGCACTCAAATCAAACACAGGTCTGGGACTGAAAGAGTTAAGCCACTACTACAAACTATAGTGTCAGCACTCAAATCAAACACAGGTCTGGAACAGAAAGAGTTAAGCAACTACTACAGACTACAGTGTTAGCACTCAAATCAAACACAGGTCTGGAATGGAAAGAGTTAAGCCACTACTACAGACTACAGTGTCAGCAGTCAAATCAAACACAGGTCTGGAACAGAAAGAGTTAAGAAACTACTACAGACTACAGTGTTAGCACTCAAATCAAACACAGGTCTGGAACAGAAAGAGTTAAGCCACTACTACAGACTATAGTGTCAGCAGTCAAATCAAACACAGGTCTGGAACAGAAAGAGTTAAGCCACTACTACAGACTACAGTGTTAGCACTCAAATCAAACACAGGTCTGGAACTGAAAGAGTTAAGCCACTACTACAGACTACAGTGTCAGCAGTCAAATCAAACACAGGTCTGGAATGGAAAGAGTTAAGCCACTACTACAGACTACAGTGTCAGCATTCAAATCAAACACAGGTCTGGAATGGAAAGAGTTAAGCCACTACTACAAACTATGGTGTCAGCAGTCAAATCAAACACAGGTCTGGAACTGAAAGAGTTAAGCCACTACTACAGACTACAGTGTTAGCACTCAAATCAAACACAGGTCTGGGACGGAAAGAGTTGAGCCACTACTACAGACTAAAGTGTCAGCAGTCAAATCAAACACAGGTCTGGGACAGAAAGAGTTAAGCCACTACTACAGACTATATTCTTAGGCTCATTTTCTATTTTTTTTTTTTTTTTTTGCTTGAATAAGCTGTGCAATATCTCGCTTCAGCTGCTTCCCTGTGTATGCTCAGGGTCCCGTTCTGGGAAGGGATTTAAAAAAAATATACCCAGTGCCCCTCTAACAAGCATTTCATAAAAGGCAAATAAATAGGGGTTTGCTAGAATTGGATGTGGTGGGTCAAAGGTACAGATATAGCAGCCTAGCTGCAAACCACAATGGGACAACTGCTTTTATATGAGCGAATGCAGAAGTCGTAGCCATTTTTGGATGTATCAACTCCACTCCTTTTTAAATCCTTATATCTCAAGAAGCTTGAGTTTGTTTTCACAACATTAAGAAAGACACTACAACTCTGTGCTTACCGATATATTTACTGGTAATGCAAATGGACTGATGTATTTTTTAAATTAAAGATCACTACTTCAGAAAGAAAAAAATCACACACATATAAATTTCCCCTGACAGAGAACCACAGCTATACACTTGAAGAAAAAGCCAAGTCAATTTGTACCAACTCCATCCTTTATTTACTAGTTAATTAAACAATACAAATGGAAGTTATCAAACTGTTAGGATTCCATATTGGTCAAAAAATGTTTCCACAGAAAATGTTTCTATCATATTAATTCTCGTATTGAATGTTGTTGTTTTTTTTTTTTTTTTTTTTTTTTTTTAAATATAATAATAATAAAATTATGTTAATCTAATCAAATTAATTTCTTTAGCCTAATTACTGAAACACACATAAAAAAAATTCAAAATTACAATATGAATTCTACAGGTCTAAAAAAGGAAATAAAATTATCCTTTGCTAAATTTAAAAAAACAGAATAATGTATCCTTTAACTGCTTCAGCGGCATCATTATCAAAATAAAACAGACCCCTGTAAGTCTATCTGGCAGGCTTCCACACACAAAAAAAACACATACAAAGAAAACACATTGCTCCACAATGAAGTTGATACATGTTTTACTCAGTAATAATGAACATTAGATAACATTATTACTACAGACTTTACAACACAGAGTACAAAAAAGTAATTGTAGTAGTAATTTAAACAATGAAATTCTGTTCAGCCCATCTGGGTAATAACTGAGATTTACATATTTTTTCCCCCTTATTCAATATTGATCAAAAATGTTTCAACCCGACAGAACAGAGGTTTTATAAACCTTGTTGCCAAAAGAAAGAAGTGTTTCTGATTTTTTTATTGCACTCTTGGCATTGGCGACTTAGCCTATATAACAGCTTTGGTGCTGGCTGCAACTGCATTGGGTTTGACTATTTTCCAAATACACCAAATTGGGGATATTGTTAGGATAAAAAATGTTTTTTTTTTTTACTCTGTCATTGTGACAATGCAATAATCTAATAATGAAATCATTTTGCTGCATGCAAGAGTGTCTTCGAAAAACCACTATCTTTGTCGAAGGAAAAGAAAGCCATAAATAAATTGCTCTGTGATTACTTACCTTCACGTAACAAATTACTTTTATCTAAAATGGCAACTTCAAATTAAGGGGGGAGGGGGGGGGGGGGGGGGGGGGGGGGGGAATATTTTTTTTTAATGACTTGATAACCTCAAAGAAGCTGCGGCTGCTTGATGGTCTGGAGGTTCGACACCCTAAATTTGTATAAACTGACCAAGACTCCAAATGCTTTCTTCTGCTTCTTCTCGTTTTATTTTATTTTTTAAACTTAGAAAGGTTCTTATGGGGTGAAAGGGTTAAAAACTGAAATACATCTCTTTCAGGTGAACAATAAAGAAGATATATGCCAACTTACCATGCTCTAACAATATATATCATGATTGTTGTGTGTTGAGTCCACTGATTAATCCTTATTCTATTTACCAATCAATTGTTATTTGCAACAGAGCTAACCGATTTATCTGTTATTGTTAACACCGCCAGGCATCTACATTCAATATAAAAAAAAATGTTTTCGTCTTTTTTTTTTTAACTCTTCTTTTCAAATAAACTGTTAACCATATTTGTGTGGCAAAGCTACCTGACTGATCCCAGTTCTCAAATAAGTTGCTATCAGTATGCCTGACTAGAGTGCACTAATCCACATCATATGACATTGGGTACAGTGTGAATGATCCATTATTTGCACCTATACTTCTCTTAAAAAGGAATACGCTACTCCTCATTACTTTATCAGTCTCGTATTTTCTGACACTAATGCATCCTAGTTATTTTCTTGTTAACAATCATGTATTTCACAAGTCTGGATATGCTGGCACATTCTGAGTTATCTTCCCATTACTGTGATAATGTGACTGTGACCACTTCTCCAACTGTATTTATCATTTATTCATAATACATATTTGTCTGACTCGTCTGTCTCATCATTATCCCCCCCTCCCCCCACAAATCACTAACAGTCTGGAATTTGATAAATTCATTTTTATGTAGGTTGTTTTAAAAATCCAAATTTCACAAGAGAAACAACAAAGAAACAACTTCAGCAAATATTACAACCAAAACTGCATGTATTGACTTCTACAGTGCTGGGTGGGAGGGTGGGTTTTTTTTTTTACCTCTGAACTTGAGGATTTAGGGGTGGGGTAAACAGTACATGTACTCGTAGCATTTTTTAAAATATAATCAAGCTGCTTTCCTTTTCCTAGTTTCTATCTGACTTCTTAAAAACATGACATGAAAATTATCAGTGAAAGGATAAAAAAATAAACAGATAATATGACAATAAACAATTATAACAAGTTTTTTTTTCTGTTATCTTTTAAACTAACCACAAACCAAACAGAAAGGCAGGGTCCAAATAACACAAAACAGGTGGCTGAACTGCTTCCTCCTGTGTGCTGCGTGGCTGCTCTATCCATTGAAGAGGACCAGGTATCTGATAGCCACCTGGTCAGCGTTGTGTACTATGTACTCATTGTGTGTAATGCGTGCTGGTGGATGGTACTCCATTCGCTGCACTTGGCCAAGGGACAAAGTTGCACCTGTTTGATTACAAGAAACAAATTATTATACCACTCTGCATATACATTTGTCGAATACAGCTACATTGATGTCAGCCCAGAGAAACAGCGAGGCTCGATAGAAATGACAACATTCAAGACAAAATGATATAATCCCTGAGATACCGGAGGCACCAATTATGTCTAGCAAGCTAGAGTTAGCAATATCGGAGATGAAAATGGGATGGTCGCCTGGAATCGAAGGATAACCCCAAAAAATTATCAAGACCCTAGGGAGAACAGCCAAAACAAAACAAAAACTGCTACAGATCTTCAATCATTGTTGGACCAGTGGCAAAGTTCCCCAGATATGGAGAGAAGTAATCACGATATCTCTCCTTAAACCAGGGAAAGACAGCTCTGATGACTCCAGGTACAGACCAATCAGCCTTACCAGCTGTCTGTAAAACAGTGAAACTCATTGTCAACCTCAGACTTCAATGGTACATGAAAAGTGAAAACATCTTCACACCACAACAGGCAGGCTTAAGACAGTTCTGCTCCACAGAAGATCAGACAACTTACATCTCTCATCAAGCTATTGATGCCTTTCCAGAAAAGAAGCTAGTGCTTGTGTCATTGATAAATCTGAAGAAAGCCTGTGACGAGATTTAAAAAAGAAAGTCTCATAAAGAAACTGTGAAACTACAAAGAGACTTGAAATTTGTACAAATGGGTGAAAGCATGCTTGTATAACAGAAGAGCCTGAGGACAGATAGACGGACTCAAGAACAAGAAAGTCTTGTTGCGCCATGGTGTCCCTCCAAGGTGGCATCGTGCCCCCAACATTTTTTTGTAATCTATATCAACAACCTAATTGCTGAACTTCCCAGTGGACAGTGTATAACATGGGTCTTTGGGTCAGCACAAAATGCAAGTAGAAATAGCGGAACATATACCAAGAGTATCCAAATAATACCAGATACACAGTCAAAATACCAACAGTAAAGCACTGTCACAACTATGATGCAGAAATTCAAGCCATCCAGATAGCAGCAGAGAAACTGCTCAATACCAGTCATATTCCACAATCTGTGGTATTCCTGACAGATGCAAGAACGGTATTTCAGGCACTTAAATAACCTGGTATACGGAAACTACTCTCCAAACTAGGCAACCAGTGTAAGGTAACAATGGAACAGATACCATCCCACTGTGGAGTTCCTGGAAATGAAAGACCAGCCATATGCCTCACAAAGGAATATGCACCAGCAACACACAGTTATCATATAGATAGTGCTTTCCCTCCCCCACAAAAATGCTCTAATCTAACTCACACATCAATAAACAACATCATATACACACCAAATGGTAATCGAGCATCAAAATCTGGCACTGGGGCATTCTGTCCAAGAATCTTCAGGCTGTTTATGTCCTCATCCAAGTGGTCTTCATCACCATGCTTGACATCTATCTTGGAATTGCCCAGAGCAACCTGTAAAATGGAAGCTGACTTATGAGCTCACATAGTCTCTCTCTCGTTCTCTCACTCTCTGTGAGTGTCTGTGTGTGTGCGCGCGCATGCATGCGTACAATTATTCAAGCTAATATTTCATAAATATAAGTACAAAATAACAAACTATATTTTACAATGGTCACAAACTGAGCAGGCAGACCTGTGTTACATTTGGTCCTTCCAAACACTCATATTTCACATACCTTATCTATAAATCATGTTACATCCATGACAAAATACTCAATATGAATATAGAAAGAAACAACACAAAGACATGGATGGAAAATACAAACAGAAAGACAGGAACTTAAACAGACAGATGATCATAAACCAAGATAAATATACTGGACCAAATCTTTTTATTTTATTTTTTTTTTGTGTCTTGCCATATGTTCAAAGGGAGTGCCACCTGAAAATGGTTGAAAACCACTGAGCTAATAAATAAGTTAACTAAGCCAATGGTTTCAGTTACATGTCAAAAGAAAGAAAACTTACTTCACAAAGCAACATAACCTTGCAGTTGGACTTCAGGCTGTGGTTATGGCAATAGTGAGAGCTCTTCACGAAAGTGTCAGCAAAATAAATACCCTGAGAAAAACAAAGTAATTGGTGTTGTTACCATATGAAGATGATGGTTTGTAAAACAAATCTTTATGAAGATGATGGTTCGTCCATGTTTAAAAAAAAAAAAAAAACTTTATGAAGATGGTTTATTCATGTAAAAAAGTGAAGATGATGGTTTATTTGTGTAACAAAACATCATGAAGATGATGGTTTATTTGTGTAACAAAAGTTCATGAAGATGATGGTTTATCTGTGTAACAAAACATCATGAAGATGATGGTTTATTTGTGTAACAAAAGTTAATGAAGATGATGGTTTATTTTGTAACAAAAGTTCATGAAGATGATGGTTCAAGTGTAACAAAACTTCAAAAAAATGATGGTTCATTCATGCAACAAATCTCCATGAAGATGATGGTTCTTTTGTGTAAAACAAAAACTGCATAAAGATCGTGATTCATTCATGTAACAAATCCTCATAAAGATGAAGGTCCATTCATGTAGCAAATCTTCATGAAGATGACGGTTTAATTGTGTAACAAATCTTTATAAAGTGCTGGTTTATTCATGCAACAAACAGCAAAAGTAAAACAATAATATGACAAAATGTAAGCTTTTGTCATGTAATGTAATATTCTGTTACTTTTTTTTAAAATTCTACCTATTATAACAGAATATGAATATGTTATACCTATTATAACAGAATATGAATATGTTATACCTATTATAACAGAATATGAATATGTTATACCTATTATAACAGAATATGAATATATTATACCTATTATAACAGAATATTAATATGTTATACCTATTATAACAGAATATGAATATATTATACCTATTATAACAGAATATGAATATGTTATACCTATTATAACAGAATATGAATATGTTATACCTATTATAACAGAATATTAATATGTTATACCTATTATAACAGAATATGAATATGTTATACCTATTATAACAGAATATGAATATGTTATACCTATTATAACAGATTATGAATATGTTATACCTATTATAACAGATTATGAATATATTATACCTATTATAACAGAATATGAATATGTTATACCTATTATAACAGAATATGAATATGTTATACCTATTATAACAGAATATGAATATGTTATACCTATTATAACAGAATATGAATATGTTATACCTATTATAACAGAATATGAATATCTTATACCTATTACAACAGAATATGAATATGTTATA